CTTATTAGACCTTACATAGACCATCAATAATAATAAATTCAAGAGTTAACCTGCAAACAATAAAATAATTATTTGCCGATAATACTGTGCAACTTCGGGTGCAACAATATCAGCCTTTTCAGTTGATTGAACACTTATACTGGTAGAATCAGCATATCTATCATTTCTTAGACTAACCTCACCTTTGAAGATTGATGCGTTCTGATTTGGTTTTATGTTTGGGAAATGATTATGTGGGCCGGCTTTGATATCTAAATACTCTTGAGAGTCATCAAGGCCCAGTGGTCAATCGAGCGCAATTTTCATAGTTTCGGGTGATGAAGAGTTGAACATTGAAGGTGAAATTGAAGCTATTAAAAAGCAATAGAGTTTGTATAGCATTGAGTTTCTCCTGCGTACATATTGAATTAGACCAAATACAGTGCTCAATCACACCATACATCATACAATGAATATAACTTTTATATTCGTAACAATTATTGTAAGAAATGGAAAATATTCGATTGGTATCGTTAGAAACTCGAAAATATTTCAAAGTATCGATGAAGTTTGAAATTGTCTAAGGATGATCCATCACCTTTATGACATGCTAAGTATTCACCCTTGAATTGATAACACTGGCAACTTTAATTTAAACGCACACTAACCTGTGGGAAAAAGCTTGGGAATTTTTGGTTTTTTTCTTATATCTCGTAAGATAATGGCTGAATTTTTCTGAAAATTCAACATGTTATAGTTGGATAGTGTAGCTTTGGTAATAGGTTACTCAACCAAATAACCAAAATATGAATTAGTCTCGAAAATTGGTTTCTGTCTATGAGAGTTTAACATAAAGGGCGAGGCATAAGTCGGGTGACAAATTTAAATCAAATAATAAACTGGTAAAAAATCGGATTAGATTAAGAAGTTTAAGTTTTTTAGATTCACGAGAATGTGCTCTTTAATTAGGTATATTGTTTTTGAAAATTCAACAAGCAAAATGTCTAAAAAACGACAAAACGTTTGAGGTTGTTCATTAGGTCAACGCCAGAGTCTTCTGGTACGATGCTATACGATAAGAGCCATTTTCACCATTTGCAAAGTAAAATTGGCACAAACGAGAATAAATATGTTCACCTTTTTTGTCGTTTTTTAGACATGTTGTATGTTGAATTATCAAAAACAATATACCTAATTAAAGAGCACATTCTCGTGAATCTAAAAAACCTAAACTTCTTAACCTAATCCGATTTTTTATAGTTTATTATTGGATTTAAATTTGTCACCCGACTTATGCCTCACCCTTTATATCGAAAAGAGTTTTTCAAACATTTTTTTCTCTTCCGAGTCTGAGCGATGATTGTGGAGTGACCTTTGGGTTTTTTCATTCTAGATTTCTCAGATATCAAAGTTAAACTATCTAACTGTAACATGTTGAATTTTCTAAAAAATTCAGCCATTATCTTACGAGATATAAGAAAAAAACCAAAAATTCTCTAACTTTTTATCCACAGGTTATTATAACTTAAAAATGACCGATAAAAAGGATATCCAAAAAAGAAAACTTCAACATTTTGAATCGAATTATCTTGATTGAAGTTTTTGTGAATTTCTTGACCAGTTTAGTCAAACAATGACACAAAACCATCGATGAAATAGTTGTTGGTTGTAAACTGAATAAAAATAAAAGATAAAGTTTGACGACAAATGCTTACGTTGAGGTTAAACAAATCCTAGGATTTATAAGCTGTGCATAGAGGGAAAGTTTTATAATACTGACGAGGGAACCGTGTAAAAGTGTAAAATCGATATTTAGATTTCATTGGTCGCTATCGGTACATTAGACCTTATTGAAAACTAATTTAACGAAAAAAGCTGCCGCCTTTTCGCTTTCGGCATTTCTTGTCCTTTTTTTAAAAAAAATTTATGCTTTTCTATGAGGATTTGTATTTGCTTTACAAAATACATCTAATAAATGCTCTGGTTGTGCAAGAAAAAGTATACTTTTATGTTTCAACATTTCAATAATTCAAAAATGAAATATAAAATCACCTTAGAAAAGCATACACTTCCGACGGTTCCTCATGACAACCTAAATTTGACCTACACCGGTGTAAGTTAAGTAGGTTGCATGTTGTTAGGTGTAGGATAGACTATGTAAATACTGAGTTTTATTGATTAATGAAACTAATTGAATATACTGATTTCATTATGGACTAAGCTTTCAAAATTTCGCAAACGCACTGATATAAGTCGAAAACTACAAAACTTATCAGTTTAAAAGTTCGCAACATTGTAGGCACAATGAAAACACGGGTCTCAAATAAAGACAATTTTGATTCGATCCTTTTGACACTAAAATTGATCTTTAAAAGTAATATTTACTTTGCATTGATAAACATTTTTCGGGAGCTAATAAAAGTAGGCACAAAGTTAAAGTATTGTAAATTCATTTGCACGAAAAAAGTTCAATGTTAGCCTGAATCTGTTCTATTTTTCACAAAAATTTAAAATTTTTATTCAACAAACGTTTCACCTTTTGTTCGAGTTTTGTAAGTACAAAAACAAATCTATCAAAAATTCACTTTGTTTGTTTTGAATCTGAAATAGATCTCAAATTGAAACTAATTGCTTGCATAAACCTTCGAGCTAAACCTAAACATAAGCTTTCGATTGATTCAGTTTGAGAATGGAGCAAAGTCAGCTGTAAAAAAGTCACAGAACTTATTGATTTATCATTAATCTGCAATGAATTCGTAAAATGCTTCAGTTTCTGTAAAATTAAAATTCCAGTGAATCTTGTGAATCTTAGATGATTGTAATTGTTCCAATGAGACATCGATACAAATGGTATTGTTATTCATAACTTAACTACATTTAGTAGTTCATTTAGGTTTATTCAAGACACTGATTTTGAATTTCAGCTTCTTCGTTTTGCGTTTCCTTTTCATTACAACAGGCAAACTTTTTGATTCCATAGTTTTTACATCAATTTTTGTTGATTTTTGATTTTTAGTGCTCTTCAAACTGGGACTTGAGTTTTTACTTTTCGATACATCCAATTGTTTGGGTACAGATGGAATTGAGCTTAGCGATTTAACCAGTTTACTCGATGGTTCCTTTTGAATTGTAGAAGATATTATTTGTGATTTAAAACGAGTTACCGCAGTTATAGCTTCAGCTAATCATTGCTTCTCTTTTGAATCAGAAAATTTGCTTATTTTGCTTGTTGAAACTTTTTTCGGACCTTTTGACTGTTGCTTTTTGGACCTTAAATAAACTATTATCAATAAAATCAAGAATAAACCTGAAAAAAATAAAATGACTATTGGCAAATAATCATCTTCGGGCGCAACAATTGCAACCTTTTCAGTTGAATGAGTACTTATAGTATCAGCATATTTATTATTTATTAGACTAACACTGATCTTGAATTTACCCGATTCAGATAACTGCAGAGAGCAATTGAAGATTAATCCGTTGTGATTTGGTTTTATGTTGGTGCAATGATTATGTGGACCAGCTTTGATAACTAAATATTCTTGAGTGTCATCAAAGTCTAGTGATTCATCGAGCTCAATTGTTAGAGTTTCAGGCGATGAAGAGTTGAACATTAAAGGTGAAATTCGCGCTATTTTGAAACAGTAATCTACAGTTTGTTTAACACTGTCTATGTCCTTTTCACATCTTGAATTAGACCAAATACAGTCCTCAATCACACCATGCATCAAACAATGAGTGCAACTTTTCAATTTTCCACAAAAATCGCTCAATATTTTAATTATTATTTTATTGGTATTTTTAGTAGCTTGCAAGTGCCCTAATGGTCTGTGATTAGAATACCAGTGAAGTTGCATATCATTTATGAATTGTTCAAATCCATCGTTTTTAAAACATGTTAAGTAAGTATTATTGTATTGGTAACACCGTCGACCTTCACTGAAACGTAAACTGTTATACATCAAACCAAACTGATCAATAGGGTATCCAAGAAACAACGCTTCAACATTTTGAATTGAACTATCGTTATTGAAGTTTTTGTGAATTTCAATACATTCCTTCTGCATGCCACTTCTTTGGTGGCAAAAATGAGTTTCGTTAAGGCTATGATTGTAAGCATATTCAATTGATGGATTAAGGCTTTCTCCATCAGCAAAGATAAAGTGATAATCCGATATCTGGGTGAAATTAAGCTCAACTGAAGGCACAATATTCTCATTAGAAGAACAATTTTTATAAGTATTTTGCTGGCAACTACGAACTTCGGATCTTAAATGGTACCGCATTAACGTGTAATTATTAGCACCTGAAGCACATTCTTGTCCAGTTTCATCAAACAATGAAACAAAATAGTAGTAAGTAAGAAGGGCAGAGTCGAATGGGCGGAGCCAAAGATTGTCAACTCTTCGCTCTTAAAGGAGCGAAACTAGTCTCAGGTCAGAAAGGGGGTGGAGGTTCAGAAGTGAGCTTGAGGGGCTCCCACCTAGAAGCGACAATGAAAGGGTCATTTTATGACGGATAATAAAACGTAAAAGCTTTGGTTAGAGTATATTGTATTCTGCACCTGGCCTCGGCTAATGGCAATAAAGTCCGAACTTATAATCAAGCTTTTGTTTTTGTTTTCTCAATTTTTTACTAACAAAGTTGTAAAATTTTACAATGCAGCAAAAAGTTCTCAGAATTTTATTACATTTACAATACACTTTTCTCTTTTTGCGCTCGCTCTTTATTGCTCAAAATTTTGCTTTAAAAGCGACTCACTTTTTTGAAGAGAATCAGTATACTTTTGACTTTCTTACAACAACTTTACCATAGTTTTTCAACGTTTCTTTCTTGTGAATCCTTTCAACCGGCGTTCTTTTTACTCGTCATCTTTTCTTCAGTCTGATTTTATTCTTTTTCTTTTTTCTCAACATTTTGTTTTTGAGTTTCAACCTTAAATTTTTTTTTTGTGATCATCTTTCTGTTTGTGTTATATATCCATCTACGATTGTTTGTTCATCAATTTTATCATCAACAAAATGTCTCGACGTTACATGTATCCATCAAACTATTGTGAACTTGTTCTTGATGCTTCAATGTGCAATCGTGAGGATGATGAAATTTGTATGTCCGTGGATATTCCTGAGGAAATTATAATGGATGATACTGAAGCCGATATGCTGTGTCGTGATATTTCTTTCAGTGAATTAAGTGATAACCATGCCATGGAAAATTGTTCTCAACCATGTGAAGCAATGGATACTGATAATTCTAATTTTATGAATCAAATGGATTGTAGTGATGAAAATGCTGAAATAATCATCATCAATGAAACAGTTTCGTCTCTGATTGATGCTGTTGAATGTGCTATTGATATAACCTCTAACATGGTTCAGAATCAACAACAGGAATTATCCAATGGACAGGACTCGGATGAGGATCAATCTGAATTTCTTCAAATCGGTCAAGGTGAGGATGAAATTCCAATAATCAGCTTTACTGTGAAGGATGAAGGTCAGTGGCAGCAAAATGATAATTTTCATACCTTAACTAAAATTGTGCGTGCAGATATAGTGAATAATACAAACCGTTCAGTAGATTTACTAGAAATATCAACAGCAATCAATGATGCTTATGAACGTTTCGTTCAGCAAATGATATCTTCAGCAAACCCTGATGATATAATCAATCTAACTTTTAATAATCCTCGTGATGATAGACAGCTCTTCATGAATTTTAAGACCAAAAATTTTGACAAAAGTGAATTTCTTGCCCGTGCTGAAAAGCTAGCTCAATCAAGTGGTAGCTTTTTAGATGGAGGTGAACTTGAAATCACAATTCAAATCCTGAAATCCATATCTGGAACAGCAAAGCGTATTTCCAAATTACTCGAACCAAACGAAAGAGCTAAACGTCAAGTATCAGTAGTGGTGATAAAGAATGAAGATATATACTGTGGTTACTATGCTATCGCATTAGGTAAATTTTATGTTGATAAGACTCCAGAACAAGAAAGCCAATGGATATCTCTGAGAAGAAGAATAACAAAACTTAAATCATTCGCAGCAAGGCTCTTTATGGATCTTAAAATTGATGCTCTTGATGCAATGGATATGAATAAAATTGCAGAAATTCAGAACGCTTTGCCGGGATATCAAATTGTTATTGTTGACTCAAAGACACGTCTTAAAATATTTGCCGGTCCCAACGCTAACAAAAAAATATTTTTAGAGTATACGGACAATCATTTCAACCTCATCACCAAAATTAATGGTTACATGCAGTGTAATAATTTTTGTGTTCATTGTTGGGTTAAACTGCGAGATGATAAACATATCTGCAGAGATGCTTGCCAAATGTGTTCTGTGTTTCCAGCTTGCTCTGCTACTGAATCAGTGTTATGTGACAAGTGCAACCGAACATTTAACAACAATATCTGCTTTCAAAACCATATTCAACTCGGAATCTGCGAATCTCGAATCAAGTGTAAAAATTGCTGGATAACCTACAAACCTAAGGACGGACATCGATGTGATTGTTACAGGTGTGAAGGCTGTAAGCTTCTCTATACAACCACTCCGCATTACTGTTTTATACGTCCTCACTCTATTTTGAAACTTAAAGAAGAGGACGAAAACTTGGTATTCTACGTTTTTTATGACATTGAGTCAATGCAGCTTCCAGCATCATCCAACAGTCTTCTACATGTCCCGAATCTCCTCATCTCCTACACAATCTGCAGTAAATGTTTCAATACGTCTTCATTAATAAAATCACCAGATAATTGTGAAAATTGCGGGATTTTGCGCAGAGTATACAGAGGAGAAGATTGTGTTAAATTATTTTGTGACTATCTGTATCGTGAAGCGGCACCAAAAGCACGCTCTCTCAATGCAAATGTTACTGTTGTTGCTCATAACCAAAGAGGATATGATGGACATTTCATAATTCAAGACTTCTATCAAAGACAATTTGCATCCGTTCCTGGTATAATTATGCAAGGTTCCAAACTGACATTCATTAAAATGGAAAATATTCGCTTTATCGACTCTCTTTGCTTATTCATGCAGCCTTTGAGTTCTTTATGCAAATCTTTTAATGTGACCGAAGCTAAAAAAGGATTCTTCCCACATCTATTCAACACACCTGAAAATCAAAGTTACATTGGTAAAGTTCCAGATTTATCGTATTATGATCCTGATAATATGAAGCCAAATATGAAAAGTGAATTGATAGCTTGGCATAATGAATTGGTTAATAGCGATTATGAATATGATTTTGCAAAAGAATTAATCAGTTATTGCGATTCAGATGTTAAAATTTTGATGTTATCTATGATGAAATACATCAGACTTTTTTCTGAAATTACCGATATCAATCCACTAACAAGAAAATTCACTTTAGCTTCAGTTGCACTTGAAGTCTATCGTGCTAGACTCTTAGCTCCATCAACACTTGCCATCACACCAAATGCTGGATACTGTTCGAGAAAACAATCGTTATCTGCTTCATGCTGGCTTGATTATCAACAGCATATAATCGGTGATTCTCTTAAAATTAAGAGAGAATTTCGAATTGGTCCATATTATGCAGATGGTTTTATACCAGAGGCGAAACACGTCTTTGAATTTTACGGTTGTCTCTTTCATGGTTGTCCTGAATGCTACACTGATAGAAGTATGACAAATCCAATCCTCCACGAAACTTTGAACGTCGGTCAGATATATGAAAGACTATTGGAAAAAAGAAGATACTACAATCATCGAGGATTTAAATTAACTGAAATTTGGGAACATGAATTCAATCAGCTCAAAAATCAACAGATCTACATTAAGCAACGTATTTCTCACAGATATTCAATCAAAGAGGCAGGTCATATAGATATTCGTGAAAGTTTTTTCGGAGGTCGAACGAATAATATCAAATTCTACCATGTATGTGCGCAAAATGAAAGGATCAGGTATCTAGACTTCACATCTCTTTACCCATACGTGTTGAAAAAGAACGCGTTTCCTGCTGGTCATCCAAAATTGTTAGAAGAAGATTTCGATGAAGATGATATCGGTGCATATTTTGGCTTCATTAAATGCAAAGTTCTTCCTCCTGCTCAGCTAAATATCCCTATCTTACCTTACCGTGGTCATAAGAAACTTCTCTTCCCGTTATGTAGAACATGTGTTTCAGAGAACATCCAGACGTACTGCAAACATAGTGATTCTGAACGTATGATAACAAATACTTGGACTTCAGAAGAGTTGAAAACAGCAGTTAGATTTGGTTACCGCATCATCAAGATTTACCAAGTTCTACAATTTGAGCGAAATGCTGATTTATTTTCTGAGTATATCAAAATGTGGCTTAAAATAAAACAGGAGTCGTCGGGTTGGCCTGCTTGGTGTGAGACAGATGCTCAAAAAGCTACTTATATTTCAGATTATGAAGAACACGAAGGAATAAAACTTGATCCTTTAGAGATTCAAATCAATCCTGGTAAAAGAAGTATAGCCAAACTTATGTTGAACAGTTTATGGGGTAAATTTGCCCAGAACTCAAATTTAACAAAAACATCCATAATGCGTGATTATGCAGATCTTTGGACTCTAATGAACGACGATACACAAGAAGTTTTAGGTGTTAATCAAGTAACTGATTCCGTTATTATTGCTCAGCATAGATATTCAGAGGAGCACACTGATAAAGCCCCACAGTCAAAAACAAATATTGCTGTTGCAAGTTTTGTAACAGCTTATGCACGCTTAGAACTATTCAATTTACTGCAAAAAATAGAACAACAAAGGTCTGGGAGAGTATTGTACTTTGATACTGATTCCGTTGTATTCATAGAAAGAGATGATGATGTGAAAATAGAATGTGGTGATTATCTTGGCGAACTAACTGATGAAATTGGTCTCAACAAAAAATGCGACAAGTTTATTGCATTAGGTCCGAAAAATTATGCTTATGAAGTTGTTAGTGATAACAATGAGAGAAAAGCGATAATAAAAGTTAAAGGAATTAAGTTAACTGCCAAGGCTTTAGATCTAATTACGATTGAAAAGCTATGTGAAATGGCATCCGACTACACTGAAGGTCGTAAAACAATTTTAAAAGTGCAACAAACGAATATTGTATCCGATAAATTTTCTCATAAAGTTTTCACTAAGAATTTTCTTAAAACTTACAGAGCTATGTCAAACAAGAGATGGATAATTGGCAATGATACACGTCCATTTGGATATAAAACTGATGCACCTGATCCATCATAAATTTTCTTTATCTTTATTATCTTTTTGCAAACTTTTTGTAACTTTTATTACTCTTTTTGCAAACTTTTTGTAACTTTTATTACTCTTTTTGTAAACTTTTTGTAACTTTTATTACTCTTTTTGTAACTTTTATCACTCTTTTTGTAAACTTTTTGTAACTTTTATTACTCTTTTTGTAAACTTTTTGTAACTTTTATTACTCTTTTTGTAACTTTTATCACTCTTTTTGTAAACTTTTTGTATCTTTTATTACTCTTTTTGTAAACTTTTTGTAACTTTTATTACTCTTTTTGTAAACTTTTTGTAACTTTTATTACTCTTTTTGTAAACTTTTTGTAACTTTTATTACTCTTTTTTGTACTTGATGAATTATTTACAAATTTTTGCTCTTATTTTTTTCGGTATTTGGCCTTTGAGCATAAGTATGGCAGCCATCTGGCATCAACTAAACTACCTAATACAGGGGCGCTGTGTACATGCCTTTTCACCTGCACTGGTTTACCTTAGATTCGCATAAATAGACCAGCAAGATTGACAGAAAGTCATTCTCGCACAAGTTCTTCAACAGTCAACTTCTAAGTTTTCTTCTGCTTGTTTTACTTTGCTCCTCAATCTTCATAACATGTCTTCCAATACAGTTTCAGCCAATACAACATCGGACGTTGTTGATAAATCAGCTCCAATTGTGATCAACAGTGTTCCGTCTGAGTGCCAAAGTGGAAATGCTGAAGCGTTTTTCAAAATATTTGATTCAACAAAATCAAATGCCTGCTTCAGTCTTTTTGATGAACATCCCTTCAAGCATGAAGGCTCATGGCAGTTCTCTCCTATGCTGTTCATCGAAACTTTACGTGGTTCACAAGACTATGAAAAGATAATCTATGGAAAGTTAGTGGCCATGATAAAATCAAAATTCGGTGCTAGTAAGTATCTCCAACGACAATTGCTGATGACGGGAAGTAAGACCATTGTTTACTGTTCTGAGGCATTGGACTTCGGTATTGGTTGTGCATCCGACACAGTTGAAACTGAAAATCCTGGTATCTGGAAAGGCCGTAATCTATACGGTTTAGCTTTGATGACAGTCCGAAATGATTTCCGGGAAAACTGGAAAAAGGAGAATCTTGTTGAAGACACTGAGGCTGGTCCTAACCGTAAAAAGCTCAAGGTTATGGAGAAAAAATGAATGCTTGATCCAAATTTCATTCATATTCGCATTGAATCAATTTTACTTACTTATTTCATGTATCAGCTGATTTATAATAGTAATAACCTTTCATGATTTTACATATTAAACAAATTTGATGATTAAAATCGTATTTTGTATAACACTTATTTCGGAAAAGGTTATATAAATATAAAAATCTAAATAAAACATTCAAAATATCAATATGATTGAGTCCTACACCTTCAAACATCCCTTTACATGTATGGTAGCGGGACCTACATCGAGTGGAAAAACAGTCCTAGTTGAATCCATTATTGCCAAACATAAACTAATTATTCCAAAGTTGAACTCACAACCTAGAATAGTCTGGTGTTATGGACAGTGGCAAAGTAGATACGCGAAGAATAAGAACATTGAATATCATGAAGGATTGGTAGATGAACCACAAAATTATGATCTTATAATAATTGATGATTTAATGAATGAACTAGGAGAGGACAATCGTTTACTTAACCTATTCACAAAGGGGAGCCATCATATGAATTTATCTATCATCTTCATAGTTCAGAATGTGTTTCATCAAGCAAAAAATATGCGTAACATTAGTCTAAACTGTCATTATTTGGTTTTAATGAAAAATCCTAGAGATAAGGCGCAAATATATGCTCTAGCCAGACAGCTTTACCCTACGAAAATTGCAAAATTTGTCGCTGCTTACGAAGATGCAACTGCTAAACCTTTCAGTTATATAAAGGTTGATTTGACTCCTTCTACTCCTGAAGAGTTGAGAGTGAGAACAAATATAGTTCCTAAGTCTAAGACACACACACTCACTGTTTATCAAATATAATGTCTACAGAGTTGAAATCAATGTTACGCACATTACAGCTCGCAGCTACAATCAGAAATCGTTCACTGCGTAAAGCTTTTTTGATTGATCAATACAAAGCTGATCCGACTCTATATAAAGCATTAAAAGAGATAGCTGTTAACCTGGTAAACAAAAATGTAAATTTATCAGAGAAAGATAAAACTAAGCTACGTAAATTCAGAAAGTGCATAATTAAACTGGCAACTGATCGAGCAAAAGGGAGACAAAGACAGCACGTTGCTCAAAGTGGAGGATATCTACCAATAGTCATTCCTCTTGTTACGAGTTTTTTATCAAGCCTACTCAATGGTTGAGGTTATGAAAAAACAGATCACTGTTGCATTTGACAAAGTCGGTCATACGGTAGAAAAAGAGAAAAAAATAAAGCTTGAGAATAAAACTTGTAATAACAAAGTTGAATCAATATTGAAAGTAATTTTAAAGGTTGCTAAAATTGGCGGTTACAACGAATACCATAATCTTGTTATTGATGGCGCTCCTCTTGAAAATACTAACATAGAAAAACTGCTGACTGCTGCTTTTGCCAATATTGAAAAGAAAGATTGGCCACCTAGCTTTATGCATTTGCTTCGTAAAGCAGAAGTGGACCCACAATACATACCGAACAAATATTTAAAACAAAAATTGACTGGATTCACAAAATTGAAACCTTTCAAATCTGAATCATTTCCATTTGTCCTCACAACACTCAAAGAGAAGAAAGTACGGAAACGAAAAGCACAAGAACCGTTGAGAGCGAGTGAACGTCTAGCGAAGAAAAAACTGAAAAGAAATATCGATACGGATGATGGAGCCACAAGATCTAAATGGATCACATTCGCAGATATCCAATGATGAAACACTCAGAAAAATTTATTATTCAATAGAAAACCCAGCTGGTTTCACATCAATCAACAAGCTTTACAAGGAGGCAAAAGAGGTCAATAGAAACATAACGCAATCTTACGTTAAGGAATGGTTGAAATCACAGTTACCTTACACACTTCATCGGGGAGCTAGAAGAAATTACGAGCGTGATAGGATAGTAGTTACAGCGCCTGATGAGCAATGGGAAGCTGATTTGGTTGAGATGCAAGAATTCGCAAGGGTTAACAGAGGTTACAGATATATTCTGAACGTAATCGATTCTTTCAGTAAATATGCATGGAGTGTGCCTCTTAAGTCAAAGACGGCTCCAGATGTAACGAAAGCTTTCAAATTGATTTTAAAACAAAGAGTTCCAGGAGCCCTTCGGACTGATAAAGGAAAAGAATTTCTTAACTCTTCTTTGCAGAATACATTGCGTGGATACGGTATCAGACACTATGTTTCCAACAATCCAATTATCAAATGTGCTATCGTTGAAAGATTTAACCGGACACTGAAAGCTAGGATGTACAAATATTTTACTGCTAATGGAACAAGAAAATATTATGATATATTGAATAAATTGATATCAGCTTACAATAACTCGTATCATAGATCGATTAAAATGAAGCCAGTTGAAGTTACAAGCGAAAATAAGGATTTGGTTTTCAAAAACTTATATGGAGCGCATAACCTTCTTGATCTAGTTTCGAAAGACCAAAAAACTACCACACCTAAATTTTCAATCGGCGATTCTGTTAGAATGAAATACGTACTAGGACCATTCGATAAGTCATTTTACCCTAATTGGACTGATCAGATTTATTTTATCTCGAATATTGATAAAAGCGGTACTAGATTCAAGTATTCTTTGAATAATTATGATGGTTCACCTTATAAAGATCGGAAATTTTACACTGAAGAACTGCAGCATGTGAAAGAATCTATTCATAGAATTGAAAAAATATTGCGTAGAAAAGTATATAAGGGCAAAATAATGTACTTCGTTAAATGGTTAGGATATTCAAGTTCACAAAATTCATGGATAATGGCAGAAGATTTGCAGAGACTCCGTTGAGAGACTCGTCATTTGTGTTATTTATTTTTCAAGTTCTCACATTATTTTTGATCTCGCTTATTTCAATGATAAGTTTAGCTCTTAATCTTGGAGATCAAAGACTTTGGCTTGCTCTATTGTCAATGGCATTAGGATGCTTACTTCCATCACCTAAGATCAGTAATAACAGTGCTAATTCTAATACAGCTATTTAAAGGTGAATTGTATTGAGGAAAAATAAATAAAGGTTATTTGAAATAATAAATATGGCTCAATCTTTTTATTTGACATTACCAAGTAACGTTAAAGGATTAACTGATAACAAAATTTCAAATTATTTAACTTATCTACCGCAAACTCTGAAATTAGGAGATAATTGGGAAGTTGGACTAGCAGAAATCACATATACTAAAAGTTGGTATAATGTTGAAGGAAAACATCGTTTCACTATCGTTAATGAAGCAGGATTTAGCATTGAGACGCAAGCGACATTGAAACCCGGTTATTACGAGAACATCGAGCTACTCTGTGATGAAATCAATCGTGAAATCCGTGAACTAGCTGATGTTTTTGAATATGATGGTATACCTCCGCGAATGGGGTATTTACCGGCTGAGCATCGCGTAATACAACAATCTGGTGGAAACAAAGCTGCTAAAATGCTTATCCATCTAGGCAGAGAACTAGAGACAATGTTGGGTTTTCAGAATGAAGAAGATTACGAAAAAATCAAGAACAAAATGCAAAAAGATAGTTTACACAGCGAGCCTCTCGTTCTTCTTTACGAGCATACTAAAACTATGGGTCGAACAGCACCTCACTTATTCGATTTAAAAGCAGGCATACATGCTTTAATGATCTATTCAGATCTTGTTCAACCTTCAATTGTGGGAAATACTTACTCACAGTTTTTACGATCAGTGCGAGTTGACAATTCATCTAAATTCGGAGACGATATAAATATTATTTTCACCAAGCCATATTATTTTCCATTATCATGCAATGAAATCGATCGAATTTTAATTAATATAAAGGATGAATCCGGTCAAGACATTGCATTCAGATTCGGTAGAGTTGTTACAACATTACATTTTCGGCAAAAATGGAAAGCTATTATATAAATCAAGCAGGTAATGGTTTACCTCTTCAAGTATTCGCAGGAACTCGTTACCAAAGAGGGAACGGCTTTTTCGGGCGTTTTCTTACATCCAAGATTTTACCTCTACTACGCTATTTAGGATCACAAGTGTTGGACACTGGTAAGGCTATATTTGAAGATACTAAAAACTCTGCAGCTAATCACGTATCAGAGACTGTTGGTAAAATTGCTAGCGATGCAATTCGCCATATTTCTGACAAAAGGAATAAACAGGAAGGCGCTGGAAGAAAGGTTATAAAAAGGGCCTTAATCAATAGGAAAAAGAAAAGCTTGAATAAAGCATATTACGATTTCCTAAAATGACTTCCATACACAAATTATCTTCTGAAGCTCTTCTTCCTGAACTGGATATTTTCACCGTACCACCTACACAGAAATCTATTGAAAGAAGCTATGAAACACAACATCGACCCATTTCATCAATTACAGGTGGCAACTACCTGGAATTTCATATTCCTACATCGAAGGATGAGTACATATTAATGCATGAAACATACCTATATGTTAAGATGCAGTTAGTTATGAACAAAAATGATAACACAGCCATGACTGAGGCAGACTGGGTTTGGTTGAAACCTGCTAATAACTTGCTACATTCAATGATAAAGCAAGTTGAACTTAAGCTTGGAAACAGAGAAGTAACTTCTTCCTCGAACACGTATGCTTACAGAGCCTATTTTGAAAATCTCTTAGGATATGGAAAATCAGCTAAGGATACACATTTACAGTGTTGTTTATGGAATGAAGATGCAGCAGAAAGACGAGGTTACTTCTTACCGGCAACTAATAATGACAAAATAGGTGAATCCAAAGTCGTTGATTTGTATGGTAAATTGCATGTTGATCTTACATTCCAAGGAAAGGCACTCATCGGAGGTTGTGATTTGCAGCTGAAGTTGATCCTTAACACGACCGATTTTGCTTTCGAGTATTCGAATGCAGTTACTTTGAATCATAAAATTATTGATTCTAGTTTATTCGTACATCGTTTGCGAGCATATCCAGGTTTGGTTACTGCTCACGCTAAAGCATTGGCTTTGGCTCCAGCTAAATATCCAATAACAAGAGTAGAAGTTAAACATATACCTATCCCTTCGCAGTCTATGGATGCTGTTTTAGACAATATTATAATCGGACAGCTACCTCGCAGATTATTTCTAGGTTGTGTTTCAAATAAAGCATTCAACGGTTCAAGAGAAAAGGATCCATTCCGCTTCGAACATTTCAATATTTCTCAAGCGATTTGTTATCTCAATGGAGTTCAATACCCGAGCAATGGTTATCAACCTGATTTTGATAAAGGAAACTATATCAGAGAGTATTCAGGGTTATTCCAGGCAATGAATATGAACTCAACAGAGTCAACGATCGATATAAAGAGAAAAGAATTTGCTGACGGTAAAACCATTTTTGGGTTCAACTTTGCACCTGATTTGTCTCATGGTTGTGATTTAGTAGGACATGTCAATCCTATAAATCATGGTACATTGAGAATTTATTTGAAATTTGCAAAAGCACTCGCTGAAGTTATTGATGTTGTAATATTTTGTGAATATGACAACATTATTGAGATTGATTACGAGCGAAATATAGCATCCGATTACAAAAACACAGTGAAACATGTATAATTATGAGATAAGAAATCTATGTGCACACGTCAATGATTTTTTAGGCGTGTTTGCTAGAGATAAGATACCATTATCAAAAATTATCCAAGTTTTTTAGTTGTGAATACTGATAAATCTACGGAAAAAGGAAAACATTGGGTAGCCTTCAGAGTTGATTCACGCAAGTGTGAGTATTTTGACTCGTTTGGACTGCCACCTATGTATCCTGAGATGCATAGCTTATTTAAAGAGAAAAAACTCGTTTGGAATACCAAACAGTTACAACATCTTGAGTCGAGAGGTTGTGGAGCATTTTGCGTTGCATTTGTGATTGATAGAGCAACCAATACATCCTTCAAAAGTTTTCTAGCTAAGTTCAGTAAGTTTCATAAGTGTAACGATAATCTAGCCTGGAAAATCATTGACGATGGATACAAAACAAATCAAAATGGACCTGAAGTGGATTCCAAACGAAAAAGACTTCTACGGATTCAAAATTGAAGTGCGAAGTCGCTATGGTAATATAGATTATGAATCTGCTCTATGTTTTACTGTCTGTGGTCAACAATGCTACTTTGCTCCTGCAAAATTCGATAAAAATGGTGATATTTCAAAGTATTTGAAGGATGCGCTTCCTGAAGATGTAGGAGGATATATCAAGCAGTTTTATGAACAGCTTCCTGAACGGGATCCAGTTATTGTAAATGATCTTGTCTTGGTATACATTCTTGATTGTATCGGTATACCGTGTACGTTGCAGGAGAATAAAAAGTCTAAAAGAAGCTGGTTTGGGATCCTTAGAAGCAAAATTCGTATTTGTTTACTTTTTCCATTCTTTTTGCGCTTTACAATTTCTAAAGGCTATTTATCCTAGATGATGTAATCATTACTGAATATTTCTTAAGAATAATAAAAATACAAATGACCAATCAAAATCGTCTAATTGTAATTATCCATTCTCTATCGCGTATAAATAGTTTGCTATTTCGCTTTTTCATTCATTTCAATTTTTAGTGTTAAGTTGACCATTATGGATAGAATAGCTCTTGCAATAGAGTTAGTTAACGTTTCTGTAAACTGTGAGAATAAAAAGCTATCAAAGCAAGTTGGAGAGTTGATGAGAGAAGTTCAACGGCTGAGGCGTCAGAATAGAAGGATTATGAGAAGAAACAACGTTTTAACTCAAGAAGTAGAACAACTTTGTGATCTTGTTGAAGTCTGTGAATATCATCTTGACTCCTTAAATTCTATCCATCAGGAATCTGTTGAGCAGAAAATATATATAAAATATCTGGAGCGACAAATCAAGAAGCTACTTGGATTCAAATAATGATGGATACGCTGAATAACAAACCTGAAATAAGCAACGTTGTTATAAAATATCATCTTACTAGATTTCCCTTCAAGCTTGCTGAATTGAGTGAGTATTTTCCTAGTATCGATTACCGACCGAAGAGATTCAGTGGAGCTATTCTCAAGTTCGAGACTGCTTGCTTACTCATATTCAACTATGGTAAGATAAATGTGGTTGGCGCTAAGAGCATTGAGTGTGCTGATTCAACTATTGCTGCTTTCTGCATGAAATTAAATCTACCGATTGAATTTCATAATCGTCAGATAGTTAATATGGTTGGTACTTCTAACTTCAAGCGTAAAATAAATCTCGACAAGTTGAGCAGAGAGAAACCACGGATGTTCGAATACTATCCTGAGTTATTTCCAGCAGCTTATTATCGCAAAGAAAAGAGCAAGTGTTTGTTATTTCATACCGGAAAAATGATCATTACTGGCTGTAAAACATATAAAGACATAGAGAGTCTAAATAATGAAGTACGTCTTTGTTTGTTGCTCTATGGATACTTGTAAGCTTTTGGAATTCACTTTAATGACCTTATTCATGATTGTAATCATAATCATGCGTATATTATACATCAATTATGAAGTTGATTCCAATAATGGAACTTTAAAAACTTGAATAAAGTGTTGTGTAAAAAAGACGTTTGCTTTTCCTTTATTCGCGTATAGATATCTTATTTTAACTCGCAATAGAAGTAAACCAGTACAGATATTGAGATGGACATTTTATTCCTTTTCGCAGAGTAACATGAAAGTGTGATAATAAGTCCTGTTAGCTACACAGAAGGAAAAAACTTAAGATGAGCTATATAACATGTAGGTGTGAAAAAGGGTAAGAAAGTTAGGTTATAAGTCAACATTTTATTGCTTCTAGTTCAGGTGCATATGAATAGCTAGGA